GTTTCACCATGTTGACCAGGATGGTCTCAATCTCTTGACCTCGTGATCCATCCGCCTCGCCTCCCAAAGTGCTGGGATTACAGGCGTGAGCCACCGCGCCCGGCCGGATTCGATGTTGTATTAGTAATTTGTAAAAAAAACAAACAAAGAAAAGAAAGAAAGAAAAGAAGGGAGGGAGAGAGGGAAGAAGGAAGGAAGGAGGGTAGGAAGGAAGAAAGGAAGGAAGGAAGGGGATAAGAAAATAAAAAGAATGGGAAAAGGAGTCTACTGTTCAATGGCTTTGATTTAATTGCTCAGTTTTAAAACTACAGAAATTTAAGAAGTTGCTTTCTCTGTCATAGCCTCCTTAGTTTCTTTGTACTCTGAGTGTATAACAAGGTAGACATCTCAGATTATACATGGACAAGTTCTTTTCCTATTTATATTCCTAAATGTAGCAGTTTTCTTGGTTTCCAATAGAATTCTTTTCTTTTCAAATTTTAATTTAAAATATTTTAAAGCTTTGAAAAGTGATAAAAATAGTAGTAAGATATCACATGTGCTCTCACCATGTTTTTCTGTTAATATTTAACCACATTCATCTTACACTCTGTCAACATAGAAATATACGCATGTATGTCTATATATACATGCAAATAGATACATAGATATATACATACAAAACGTTTTTCTGAGACACATTTATTTTGCAGATATGAGGTCTGTTTACTGCTTGCTATTTCAGTGTTTATTTCCTGAGAGCAACCACAATCTAACATCACAACAGTACAACCATAAAAATCAGGATATTTTCATTGGTTTTACCGTCTATTTAGACATGTTAATATTTTTCCAATGATCCTAATATGTCATTTTATAAGTTCAGGATCCATCCAGAATTATGCATATCACTTACTGGACCTATCTCTTCGGTCTTCCTCAGTCTGGAATATTTTCTTAGCTTTCTTTGATTGTGTTCATGACCTTGGCATTCTTTACCCAAACAGGCCATTGGCTTCACGGACTCCAACTCTGCTTAGGATTCCCTGACTTTTTGCTGTTTTGATTAAGTATATATGCATTATATATTTTTAATATCAGGCCTTACATATTCATATTCTCTACAAAATTGTCATATGTTTTAAAGATATACCAAGTGAAGGAAATGGCTAAAAGAGACATATATGGGGAAGTGACATCCATTTCATATAATTACAAAGTATTTTTATTATTTGTGGAATGCTTATAAATCTGTTGCCATAAAACCACTAACTATAGTAGTAATACCTTGACAGGTTCATTTCATCTTAATTAAAGACGACACTCTTTTCTTCTTCCAAATTTCCGAATACATCTGGAGAACTGGATCGGTGTACTCTTTGAAACTGAAATAGTAAAGTACCAAGTCCCATCATGTAATTTTGCGAAGGTTTCATCCTTGCCTGGATGATATCTGTCCTTCTAATATTATCTTTTCTTGATTACTGTAGATGAGAGCTAGCTGTTTATATTTGGTAATTTTTCAAAAGAAGTGCTTCAACCAAACTGCCCATTTTTTAATGCAAGGGTTTTGAAAGCTTGTCCTTTGCTCTGTGGGGAACTTTGAGATCTTTGGGTTTCTTATAATCACCATGACAATTTATGTGATATAATTAAAGAAAATAGAACTTTAATAATGACTTTGCCACCGATGATACTCAATATAATAGGCTGGTAGAAAAATATCAATAGTTTCATGACAGTGTTTTGAATGGTAATCAATATAACAGTGGCATGCTGATAGCAGTGTTAGAGCTCTCTACTTCTTCAATTGTGTATGAACCCCAACCCAGGCCAGCTCGCTGAGTAGAGATACTGATAATTAGTTCTACTCAAATATAAAATCACTTTAAAAACAGTTGCAGCCATATGACATCTAGTTGCATTTTGGTTTTGTTGTTCATATTTATGAATAAATTAAATTTTCAAGCAATGTTGCCTATATTCTAAAACATCAATTCCTTTTCAGAAGATACTTTTGGCTTTTAATTAAAATAAAAAGCTATAATCCCCACAACATCATTGCATTAAACCTGGAAAATCTACAAGATATGTGTGGTTAAGGATGACAAACGAAGCTAGTTACATTTTAAGAAAGAACATCAGTATTTGGGGTGGAACAAGTTAGAAACAGAAATAATTTTAGAGATAATATATTATCTTCTATATGTCAATGTACATATACTATTGCATGTAAATATCATTTCGACATATGTCATGTCTATGCTCTTCTTTCCTTGAGACACATATATTCTTAGCAAAGAAAGACATTATTATTGGATTGTTCTTTATTCTCTTATCAAAAAGGAATTTTTAAATAATTCTTTGAAAATATATCAATGAATTTACTTGTTCTTTATTTTTTGTCTCCATGGATTACCGTTATTTTTCTGAAGCATATTCTCAAATATCTTTTATAATCCTTTTTTTCAATAACCTTAGAAGATATGGAAGGACTTATAAACATTCATTTGTTTTCTAATATTTGTAGTACACTCACTCTTGATTTTGTAGATTTCTCCAATAGTGCACTTCATATCTATTCTTCATTCCTCAACCTCCCAGCTTCTCTCATCTGTACTTTATGGTATCAACTTTGAATACATTAACATTGTACTCACTATCACAAATAAATACACTAATCTTTGTTTAAAATCAAGTTCTAGGCTGGGAGCCATGGCTCAGGCCTGTGATCCTAGCACTTTGGGAGGCCGGCGTGGGTGGATCGCCTGAGCTCAGGTGTTGGAGACCAGCCTGAGCAACGTGGTGAAACCCCATCTCTACTAAAATACAAAAAATTAGCCGGGACTGGCAGTGCGTGCCTGTAATCCTAGCTACTCCGGAGACTGAGGCGGGAGAATCGCTTCAAACCGGAAGGCAGATGTTGCAGTGAGCCGAGATTGTGCCACTGCACTTTAGCCTGGGCAACAGGAGACTTAATCTGAAAAGAAAAAAGAAAAGAAAGGAAAGGGAGGGAAGGGGAAGGAGAAGGGAAGAAAAGAAAAGAAAAAAACGAGTTATAAAAACACAAAGAAATGTAAAGCATTGACCTTATATTGATAAGAATATAATGCTCACTGTTAGACAGCTATTTTATATGACAAGCAAACACATAATTTCAAAAGAATGCAAAAATAAGTATTTTTTTTCTTGCTCACTAATCAGCATATTAGCCGGTGTTAAATATCAGCTGGCTGAACCCAGTTGTATATACTGCAATGATATTATAGGTGTTCATTAATGAACACCTGTGATAAACACATTCGTGCAGTGATATTGTGGGGCGTAGCCTATAAGGTTAGGCTCAGCTAGGATCTCTCCAGGTCTCAAGTTCAGATGTAATCTGTTCCACATATATCTTACCCTGGAACACAGCTATCCAAGGAAGGTTTGCTTTATGCAGTTGGAAGAAGCATGAGAGGAGAATCCCAACCATGCGTGCATATTTTAAAGTTTTGCCTTTAATACATCTGCTAATTTTGTATTGGCCAAAGTAAATCACTTATAAAACTCTAAAGTCAAGAAGTTATGAAATACCCTTTGACCATGCTAAAGGTATAGCAATTATGTTAATGTATGTTACTGTAAGACTGGAGTAAAATCAACATTAGATGAGTAATTAAATATAACAAAACTACATATTCAAGTTAAATGTGACAACTATATTTCCTGATTTGTATAAGTTTCTTTTTAAACTTTTTTAATATGAAATTTTATTCTTTAAGTTATTCTAATATATCAGATGTAATATTTGTTCTGTGAAATTCTCTTTTTTCTTGAATAAAACCAACCTGAAATTTCTCTACTCTCATCTTTTTCTGTCATTTTTCATGATTATTCCCCAGCTCTGCACTAAAGCTACCATCTCTGGAAAACTGCTCTTTATAGTTGTAAATTAGATGTAATACACTTTGGTCCAGTCTTTATATTTATTAAGTTACTCTCTTGATTTTCTGAAGTTTATACTCAAGTAATTTCTTCAGATGGACTGTACAGAGGTTACATAAACTGTAAGATCTGCTAATCTGATATTTTATTTAACTTACATTTAGGTTAGATTGAAAGTTTTGCTAAGCATCAAAGTTTAGACTTTAAAAATTGAAATCTTTATTAAAATTGATGAGAACCATGATACTAGGTGTGATTAATCCTTTGAATTTTGTTTTATAAAAATGTAATGTTTGTTTTATTCTAGAATTTGTGAGATTTCACAGTAGTAATGTTTCTAAATTTCATAATGGGTTAATGTCAAAAGTATATCTTCAATCTTTTTTTGAGAAGTAGGTTTGCTTCCTGCCATTTTTACTAGAAATCAAAAACAACAACAAAAACCCTTGTGCTATACGTATATTACAGTGGGGAAAGTTTTCTTTTTATGTCTAGTGCCAGATTATTCTGTTTCAGTAGTATCAGCAGTTTCTTTTTTGTCTTAGTAAAGAGATGGTTTTATATTTGTATGGATTTTGGTGGTAAAACACACAAGTTGCAGAAAAACATAGATGTTTTTATGCATTTTATTTAGTCCTATTTTTGCTTCTAGAGTGCAGCATGTTAGCAACTTAAGTTTCTTAATAATTTACTGCTACTATTGATTAGACTGCACGTACAAATTTTGAGCAACTTTTGCACTTACTGCTCTTTGTTTAAATACATATAATCTTGCTAAAAAGAGTTTATTTTTAATATAAGAGTTAGACGTATTTGCACATTAGAATATTTATTTTTCACAGTGGAAATTCTCAAGTTCTGTTCTTCTTGTAGTTATTCTTTGAACTGTGGCTGTAGTAAGCTTTTGAAAAGCAGTTGTTATAATGTTGCTGTATGCCACTAAATGGCATAGAGTGACATTAATATGGCTCTCCACTGCTGTCTTAGTCAATATGAGCAGCTATACCAAATACTATAGACTAGGTGCCTTAAAGAACAGACATTTGTTTCTCACAGTTCTGGAGGCTGGGGAGTCCAGTTCAAGGCTCCAGCAGATTTAATGTCTGGTGAGGGCCTACTTCATGTCTTCTAGAGGGACTACTTGCTGTATCTTTACATGATGGGCAGAAAAAGTAAGGTCTCTCATGTCTCTTATAAGGACACTAATCCCATCTTGAGGCCTCCACTTTCATCTTCATTACCAAGTTAACTCTCAAGGGCCCCAGTAACAAGTACCATCACATTGGAGAATAGGGCTTCAACATATGAATTAGGGAAAACAACATTCAGTCCATAGCATCTGCCTTAAGAATAATTTTGAAATCCTCTATCAGGATGTACAGGTGTAGCATGATCCAGCTCCAACCAACCAATCCATCTCATCTTTACTTAATCTCTTAATAGAAACCCGATTCTCCTCTAACCTCACAACTCTACCTACAACAACCTTTGCTGTTTCTACCTTGCTGTATCTAACATCCAAATCATTCCATACATTCTCTCCTCTTTTTGAAAAAACAAATTCTACCACGACATCACTTTTTTAATGGCAGCACCTTGCTTTCTCTATATCCAACACCATCTCAGATAAATCCATGGGCTTTTGTATCTAAAGCATTTCTTCACTGACTGTTAGGCTATGCTGCTTTCCCCCCTTTTGATGTTCCAAGTGTGAACTCATCTCTTTAACATGAAATTAACATAATTTTAGATTGTGAAATTTTTTATTGTCAAGATAAAATTTGTGACCACATTATTGCTGCATTGATGTTATACTTCTTGAATGCATTCATTGGCAAGTGTTAGTATTTTATTTGGGTAACTATCTAGAAGGCAGTTTGAAAACTAGAAAAAAATTATTTAAATGTATCTTAATTAGATACATTATGGCTAAGGGAGTATATTGTTATTCTTTTTCTTTCTTTCTCTTTCTCTTTATCTAGATTAGGACCTACTGTAACTTAATTATTCCTTTAATTTCATTCTGAGAGCATAGCCATCCTAGGTAATATTTTTGAGAGTTATTACTAATGAAAGGAAAATGGAGTTTTAAAAATAAAGTCATGAATCATCTTTTGTGAAACTTAGATTTGCGAAAATAATTTTTATTTATATTTTTACTTGTGTAAATTTAATGTGTGTAAGGGCAGTTTTACTACATGGATCTGTTGCATAGCAGTGAAGTGTGGGCTTTTAGTGTAACCATCACTAGATGATCTATAGCCTAGTGTCTTTAGACTTAGCTATCATCTGCTACACCATGAAGTTTGCTCCTAGAACTGAGGAGCATATGTATTAAAGGATATTCCATATGGTGTGATCAAAAGGATTTAATACCCAGTTATTACATATATCATACACATACCCAAAAGTAAACACTTCACTCTCTTAGATATAGATTTTAACTCAGAAAAGTAGGCAGATCCTAAATGTATATATGCCAGCAAACACAAAATTAAAAAAAAAAAAAATCTTCATTTTTGTTTGTTACTCCTTTGCTGCTGAATAATAAGGACTGGAACTACATTTCTTACTATCTTGAACCCTTCAATCAACGATGTTTGCAGTAGTAGATAGGTAAAAGTCATTACATCATTATGTAAAAATTTTACAGTTGTCATACTACAAAATTAAAATGTGATTTACAAGAATGTGATGAATATGATTTGCATATAAACTTTTACTCACAAAGAGATCATCACACAAAACATATGGAAATAGGCATGAATATCATTATATAGGTAAGTAAACAAGTTTGACGTTTTTATAATTAGTAGAGGTAGTTGGAAAAGATTCCACTTTCATTTAAAAAAAATGGAGATGAATTTAGATAGAATAAAATAAGCTAAAAGAAATTTATAAAATACTCAATTTCTAACTGATTCTTTGAAGATTCAATTTTTTTTTTTTTTTTTTTTTTGAGATGGAATCTCGCGCTATAACTCAGGCTGGAGTGTAGTGGTGTGATCTGGGCTCACTGCAACCTCCGCCTCCTGGGTTCAAGCAATTATTCTGCCTCAACCTCCAGAGTACCCGGGACTACAGGCGTGCACCACCATGCCCAGCTAATTTTTGTATTTTTAGTAGAAATGGGGATTCGCCATAATGACAAGGCTGGTCTCCATTTCATGACCTTGTGATCCGCTTGCCTTGGCCTCCCAAATTGTTGAGTTTACAGAGGCAAGCCCCCATGCCTGGCTGAATATTCAAATTCTGTATAATGAAAAATCATAATGTCAAAGAAACTTCAAACTAGTTTCTACATTGAGTTCATGGGGAAAAGAATGGCAATTATTAATATTTTGATGGAAAAATAAGCAAAACTAAAGCTGGAAGACATAGAAAATCAAAGCTATCTATTTGCACATAATGTGAATAAACTAAGTGACTCACACCTACTGCTTTGTTTCTGTTTTATTTTATTTTATTTTATTTTTTTATTATACTTTAAGTTCTCTGGTACATGTTCAGATCTTGCAGGATTGTTACATAGGTATACACATGGCATGGTGTGAGATGGTATCTCAGTGTGGTTTTGATTTGCATTTCTCTAATGATCAGTGATGATGAGCATTTTTCATATGTTTGTTGGCCACGTAAGTGTCTTCTTTTGAAAAATGTCTGTTCATATCCTTTGCTCACTTTTTGATGGGGTTGTTTTTATTTTTTCTTGTAAATTTGTTGAAGTTCTTTGTAAATTCTGGACATTAGCCCTTTGTCAGATGGGTAGCTTCTGAAAATTTTTTCCCATTCTGTTGGTTGCCGGTTCACTCTAATGATAGTTTATTTTGCTGTGCAGAAGCTCTTAATTAGATCCCATTTGTCTATTTTGGCTTTTGTTGCCACTGCTTTTGGTGTTTTAGTCATGAAGTCCTTGCCTATTCCTATGTCACGAATGGTATTGCTTAGCTTTTCTTCTAGGGTTTTTATGGTGTTAGGTCTTATGTTTAAATCTTTAGTCCATCTGGAGTTAATTTTAGTGTTGGATGTCAGAAAGCGTCCAGTTTCTGCTTTCTGCACATGGCTAGCCAGTTTTCCCAACACCTTTTATTGAACAGTGAATCCTTTCCCCGTTGCTTGTTTTTGTGAGGTTTGTCAAAGATCAGGTGGTTGTGGATTTGTGCCATTATTCTGAGGCCTCTGTTCTGTTTCCTTGGTCTATATCTCTGTTTTGGTACCAGTACCATGCTTTTTTGATTACTGTAGCCTTGTAGTATAGTTTGAAGTCAGGTAGTGGGATGTCTCCATCTTTGTTCTTTTTGCTTATGATTGTCTTGGCTATGCAGGCTCTTTTTTTTTTCTGAAATCAACTAGCCTTACTCCATCTTAGAAATAAGCCTGACAAGTTCCAGCTTAGCTCACCCTCCCTGCCACAGCCCCCTCAGGTGCATTACTGGGTCAGGCTATACTCAGAGCCTTGAACCATTGAGGTTTGAGTCACGCTGTTCTCAGTACCTGTAGTTGTTGTAACCACATCCTGCTTGGCAAGTCTACCTGCTATTGTGAAAATCCCCCATTGGTGACTGATTGTATGGAAAGTCCCCCCTGCTACCCTCTTGATGACTGTATGGAAATACTCTTAGTAATCAGCAACTATGGGAACCTCCTGCCTCCTGGTTACCAGCTTCCTCCTACTAACTTGCTTGTTCTGCTTCTGTAAAATTCCACTTCAGCTAGACTCCCTCTCCCCTCTCTTCTAGGTTAAGTATAAAAGGAAATCACATCCAGCTCTTCGGAGCCGAGAGATTTTGAGCACGAGCTGGCTCTTGGTCACTGGCAATAAAGGACTCTTAACTGGAACTCAGAGTGTGGTACTTTCCTTCTAACTCGCTGGGGTATAGGGGTTCCATGTGAAGTTTAAGGTGGTTTTTTCCAGTCCTGTGTAGAAGGTCAATGGTAGCTTGATGGAGATAGCATTGAATCTATAAATTACTTTGGGCAGTATGGCCATTTTCACAATACTGTTTCTTCCTAACCATGAGCATGGAGTGTTTTTCCATCTGTTTATACCCTCTCTTATTTCCTTGAACAGTGATTTGTAGTTCTCCTTGAAGATATCCTTCGTGTCCTTTGTTAGTTGTATTCCTAGGTATTTTATTGTCTTTGTAGCAATGGTGAACAGGAGTTCACTCATGATTTGGCTCTCTGTTAGTCTGTTATTGGTGTATAGGAATGCTTGTGATTTTTGCACATTGAGTTTATATCCTAAGACTTTACTGAAGTTTCTTATCATCTTAAGGAGATTATGGGCTGAGATGATGGGGTCTTCTAAATATACAAGCATGTCATCTGCAAATAGAGACAATTTGACTTCCTCTTTTCCTAATAGAATACGCTTTATTTCTTTTTCTTGCCTGTTTGCTCTGGCTAGAACTTCCAATATTATGTTGAATAGGAATGGTGAAAGAGGCCACCCTTGTCTAGTGCCAGTTTTCAAAGGGAATGCTTCTAGTTTTTGCCCATTTAGTATGATATTGGCTGTGGGTTTGTCCTAAATAGCTTTTTATTATTTTGAGAGAGGGAATCCTCCCTAACTCATTATATGAGACCAACCAACATCATCTGATACCAGAACATGGCAGGGACACAAATAAAATAGAAAATTTCAGGCCAATATCCATGATGAACATCAATGCAAAAGTCTTCAATAAAATACTGGAAAACCAAATGCAACTGCACATCAAAAAGTTTATCCATCACGATCAAGTAGACTTCATCCCGGGGATGCAAGCCTGGCTCAACACAGGCAAATCTGTAAATGTAATCCATCACATAAACAGAACCAAAGACAAAAACCACATGATTATCTCAATAGATGCAGAGAATACCTTCGACAAAATTCAACAGCCCTTATGCTAAAAACTGTCAATAAACTAGGTATTATTTCTATTTTATAAAGTAGAATTTATAGTAACTAGACAAGGCAAGTATATTTTCAAAAATATTCTTTAAGAGGAATCTGATTATTTTATTAAGTGGGCAAATGAGGGAGGAGGAGAATATGATCTGTTACCTGTAAAGTTTTATTACATATTACTTATGTATAGACTTGTTTTGTTTTAATTGG